AATGCTACATGTTTTATGTTATGAGTTTTTGTTTTCGTGCAAGCATTTGAGAGTTGCAGGTTGAGCTGAAACGCGCGCGAAGGAGAAGACAGAGGACAGGGAAGAAGCTGTGCCTTGGGCTTTTTGACGCTTCTGGCCTTTTTGTTTTTGCTTTCCACACCCCCTGGATTACTTTCACACCCCCTGACTTATTTCTTATATTTTTACATTTTCTTGCATATTTTTATATTTATTACTTGAATTTATTTTTTCTAATGATAAAAAATGCCCAAAAATAATTTATTTATTTTCACACTTTTATTTTATTTTTTTTTTAAATTTATTTTCTCACATATAATTAGTTTGTTAGGATAATAGCTTTTATTTTCTTAAATAAATTTTTAAATATATTTTAAAAATACCATACATTTTTATTATATTATCCATACACATAAAATATTTATTTTCATACATATTTAATTTTTAATATTGACATATAATATTATTTATTATTTTCTTGTACAAAAAAATGGACAAAATAATAATATAGGATATATATTTCTTTTAATAAAAAAATTAGGGTTTCCCCCTTGCAAAAATAATAATATTATTTTTCCTTATTTTCTAGGGTTAGTTAATTTATTTTCTCTTACAAAAAACAAATACAAAACATTTTTAACATAAATACATTTGCATTACATTTTAATATTTGTATATTTATTTAATTCGCACCATATTCGATTGGGTTGTAATAAATATATTTATGTTTATTTTGTGCAATATCCCTATTCAAAAACTTGTATCCCCCTCCCATAATAATTGTTGTAATAGCTTAGTTTACATTTACGTAATTTATCGCTTTTATACCATGTCTAGTAAACTAGGGTTTGCATGACAAGAACCAAAAACAAAACAAATAGAAAGACTTAATGCAAGACAAAAGCATGAAAAATGACACATTTTACACACAAGCACCCTTAGGGTTTCTCCCACTTAGTTGCCTAAATAAAATGGTCATGTTACGCATGCGAAGTATCTTGGTAAAACAAAACAAACATAAGATCATAGTCCCCCGATGACGCTATCAAAAGGTTGCCTAAACAAAATGATCTTGGTCCCTAAAAATTGCTAAGATATTTGGCAACATTGCTATCATGGTCATACGATGACCCACACCCGTCCCGTTTACATCCAAAGATAGGATTACTTACCAAATCAATGGTAAATCAACAATGTCAAAGGAATAAAAATGCACAAGAAAGACTTTTGAGTAGGTATATAGCTTCTAGTTACTTGTTACATTTCAAAACAATCCTTGCTATTTTCAAAAACAAACACACACACACATTTCAAAACATCTTACAAAATATTGAAACATTTTTCAAAAGACAAACATCTTTGTATACATTCTTACAAACGAGAATTATTACAAAGATTGCCTAAACAATGACCTCCTTTCAAAATACTTTTAAAACCACACAAAGCACCATTTCAAACAATTTCAAAGCAAAGCAAGTGATCTAAATAAGTAACTAAGAGCCCATGGAAAACCATGGATGAAAAGGGTGCTAGCACCTTCCCTTTTTATAATCTACCCCACGAACTCAAGAAAACATCTCAAAGGTCTTTCCTGTGCTTTTTTACCTTTCCTTTTGGATAAAAGAAAATTCGGTGGCGACTCTTGCTAACCGCAACATTTGCAAACACAAACGCAAACCTTCAAGTCAGTTCTCCCACCGCATCACAGATGGCATAAAGAAGTGTATTTTGATGTTGATGAATGTGTATATACGTTGTAATTATTATTGATTATGAGAATAAGAAGTGGTGATGTTATTGATCTAATTTAATATATTAATTATCATGCGCTTTATTATATTGTTAGATATCTCACCCCTTCTGTTTGAATGTTGCCCTTATGTTGGTAACGTGCAGGTAATCGAGAGTGAAGGTTGTATACCTTCGGTAGTTCGAGTCAGTGTCATTGTTCTGATATGTAACACTCGGGGAGATGAACGCTTGCTGTTTTTGATTGTTGATTATTATTAAATTGTGTTGTTTTGAAGTTGTTGTATTGATGATAAAATTGTTATTGAGAATTTCGTTGCGTAGATGTTTAGTTATTTAATTAAAGATGTTATGATGGTTCATCCGATATTTTGAAAGTGTTATATATCCACGATGAATGCAATAAATTTTAGATAGAAGAATTTGTGACGTCCCAATTCATTTGTATGATTGAATTTTATAACTCTAATTTATTTATATAATTTGCCAGGATAGAATTAGGATGTTATAGTCCACACCTAACAAATTTGAACTCTTTTACTTCCATTTCTTTCTCTTTCTAATTCAATAAACTTAAATACTATTTTTAACTTATCTTGTAACAACTCTTAAATTTTAATGGACAAGACTCTCTCCTCCAAAATAAATTTGTTCTATAAAGCTATATAAACAAATTCTATGTATTTATGATTTATTTTATTCTTGTTCTGATGATGCTGTAACACTGTTCGAAAGGTTATTATAGAACAAACTCAGACTTATTTTTAATTAATCTATTTCTATCCCTAATGGTTATGCATATACACACCATAGTTAAATTTTTGCAAAAAATGTTGTACTTGTTTATGAATTTGTCTCTGTTTTCTACTAGAAAGGTGGACCTTGTTTGATATAGTGTCATAATGTGAGATCTATTAACTAAAGGTTTTTGTTCATTAGACAGTGGAAACATCAACCACCATCACATCTAGTAGAAAAATGTGAAATATGAAATATTGTGAAAATATTTTGAGAAATTGAGGAAAACAAATTAGCGTAAGTGTAAAATTTTGCCGAAATTGCAATTGAAGGACTAAAGTTATAATATTGACAATATTATTTCTGAGAACATTACTATTTAAAATTTTATTAGTATCTAAATGAGTAATTTAATATTTTTAAAAATATTTTTAAAATATATTTAATTTAAATTTTAAAATTAAAAATTAAAAAAATTAAAATGTTTGAAAGTAAGAAATTATAGACGATTAATTCTTATTCTCGTGAAAATTTAAATCCTCACCTTATAATATTAGAATAAAGAATGCCAAAATTGTATAAAATAAATATTTGAAATAAAATAATTTTAGATATAATTGGTTAAACTCTAAAACTAACACAAAAATGAAAAATATTCTAGCATTCATACCTGAAAATAAATTTAGTCTAAAAAGCAAATGGCTCCGTAGAATTGGAAATCAAGTTGTCTTGTATGATAATAGTTTGTACTTGTACTTTTTTTACTTAAACAATATTTAAAATTAAAAATTAAAAGTATTTGTGAATTTGTGAAAAACTTATGTCATGATATATAACATATTAATTGTATTTAAGATTATATATTTTAGCTATTATTATTATTCTTTATTTTATATATTAAAGTTTTTTATGTATTTAAAAAATGAAGCATATTAAATAAAAACTCAATATTGAGTTAGATATGATATAGATTGGATAAAATCAAATTCAAATCACGAAAATAAATTGTAAATTTCAATTAAAATTTGATATATTCTGTTTTGAAATAAATTATATTCAACAAATTAATGTATCATTTGTATTAATTTAATTGATATATTGTTGTCCACACACTTTCTAATCTAATGGTATATCTATTTAGCTTATAAAAAAAGTATATCTTTTAAATAAATGTGGCTAAATAATGATCTATATTGCCATCCTTTTTATCAAGTTTTTACATATTTTCAAAATCAACTTAAGTACAATCACAAGAAAAAAATTAAAAGTTCAAAGCTGAAAATAAAATAACATCGAAAATTGATTCTACAATAAATTTATTAGATTTCCCCCCTTGTCACTACACCTTAAAACCTTTTATAAATACCAAAATCCACTCAATAAAAAAAAAGGTAAATTAGCAAGAATTGTATTAATTTGTCAAAGAATTAGTGATCGTGAAAAAAATATAGTTTTAGTGTAAGAAAAAAAATCAATGGAAAAGGAAAGAAAATAAATTAAATGTGAAGAATATAATAGTAATACAAATGAATTTAATGTAATTGATTCTCATTCGACTCAATCTTTTTTCCTATCACTTTAAATACTATACATTCATTAAAAAGTAGAAGAAAAATTAGTGAGAGTTATGGTGATATTGAATGAATTTGGGAATTTTCATTGGAGTCCAAATTCTCAAGAATCAGACATGAAAAAGAGAAGAAGAATAAAGTGGAGTAATAGAAGAAGGGCAAAGAGAATAACTTTAAGTCTCTATTTTAACTTTATCAAAAGAAAAACACTCAATTTTATTTCAACAAATAGAGGTATGTTTTCTAAATTCATCTCTATATATTTTACCAATATTTTTCTTGTTTTCTAAATTATTTTTTACCTATTCAATTTCTTTTTCTTTCTTCGATTATTTGAGTCTATTAGGTTATACTCTTCTTCTAGTTTTGCAAATCAAATAAATTAGATTATAAGCTTGTTACTGTTTAAAAAATATACTATATTTTTAGTATTTTAGATTTTTTTCTTCTCTTCAAAAATAATATTAATATATCTTTATTAATATTTATTATGATCTTATTATTAATTTTTTATCAACTTTTTAATTTATTTTGTTTTTATTTATAGATAGATTGCATTCAAAGTTGCATAAATCACCGGTAGTAAAACTATGTAAAGAAAGGAAGAAGATTATCAAAAGTGCTAAATATTGTAGATATGATTTAGCTACAACATTTGATATATATTTGGACTCTTTTTTGAAGCTAGCCAATTCCCTCCAACAATATGTTGAACAAGAGTTTGTGATCTTTGATCATTCTTGTCTTAATTTGGAATTTTCATTTTCTGATTCTGATTTGGATCACTTTCATTGTGATAATGTGAACGAAGACAATGAAGATGAAGACGATAAACTAAGTAGCCTTCATTCTAGCTCAGAATCTACCGACGAATCAAACTACGATGAGAGTATTCAGGTCCATTCTAGTTCCACGACTTATTCAATGGTTGTTTCTCCTAAACATGATTATGAGTTACATAATAATGGAGTTAATCACAAAAATAAAGATGCTACTATTGTTTCATCGCCTCCTCCGCCTAGGACGCCACCCCAAGCTTATCCATTTAGTATGAATTATGAAGCTCCTAATTATGATTATCATGACGAGGATGAGACGAAAATAAGGGAAAGAGAAGGAATTCCTGATTTAGAAAATGAAAGTGAACTAAGTTCAATTATGTCAACTAATAGAACTTCAAATAGAAATTCATTTTCAACCATTGAAGAAATAATCATTAGTAACTTGAAGCCTAAGTTAACAATACAAGAGTGTGAATCTTTGACAATTAATTGTGTTTCAATACCAACTTCAACTAGCACAATAAGTCTAAAGGAAGCAATGGTTGATATAAAGAATGAGTTCCAAAATCTATGTGATTTTGGAAAAGAATTATCACCGATTTTTGAGGGAGAAAAGATACAATATCACTCTCCATCCATAAAATTAAAAGGTAAAATATCAAGTTTTATAACGTTTATTGGTTGAAATTATGCTTCAATTTACTATTGCAATATGTTAGTGGTTAAAATATGTTTGCAACTTATTAATCATTTACAAAATATGATTAACCCTAGTTTTAAATGTCATTAACTATGACTTTTAGATGTTTAAATAATACATGATTAATATTACTTTTTGCAGCCTTTGTCTCTTGTGCGTTTGGGAGGGTATTCTCTTCCATATCGTCGTGTTTGCACTCTCCATACATGTCATACAAACCATGTCTCAAAAGAAAAAAGTTGTCCAAAACTAAAATCCAGAGAAATCGTGATCAAACAAAACTTGGCGACCTTTCGTCAACTTTGGAGAAGCTTTATATATGGGAAAAAAAACTTTATGAAGAAGTTTTGGTAAACAGTTCTTATATTCATTATATATATATTCATTATATTCTTTATATTCATTATATATATATTCATTATATTCTTTTTTTTAAAACAATTACAATGACAGGGTGAAGAAAAACTTAGAATTTCCTATGATAAGAAGAACAAAAAACTAAAAAAATTGGATATGAAAGGTTCTGAGTCAAATGAGATTGATGATATTGTTGATTCTATCAAAATTCTACATTCAAAAATCAATGTAGCTGTTACTTCAATCAGTGTGATATCAAGAGAGATTCACGAGTTAACAGTTGATAAACTGCTTCTTGAACTCAATAAATTGATTGATGGGTAAGCTTCTTAATTTCCTTTTTTTTTTATGTTAATTAAGTGCTTATAATATAAGCACTTATATAAAAGTTATTTTTATGATAAAAGTAGTTTTGATATTTTCTAATTATCTCACGAGTACTTATAATTTTTATAGCTTAATGAAATTGTGGAAGATTATGAATATATGTCACCAGAAACAATTCCAAACTATCAGCAAAGTCAAAAGTCATGTACATATATTGGATCCATCAACAAATAAAAAGTCAAACTCAAAAGCTACATTGAGACTTGAAAAAGTGATTTTAAAGTGGGGTAAGTGCTTTTGTAACTTCTTCAACAAACAAAAAACCTTAGTGAAACATTTGAATGATTGGCTACAAAAGTGCACTCATGAAGAAAAAGAAGAACATGAAGATGAAATTAGTCCAATTTTTAGAGTTTGCAAGAATTGGTACAATGCAATTAACAAGGTTTCTGATATTGAAGTCTCTAAAGCTATTAATAATTTTGCATCAAACATGCATCAATTATATAAGAAGCTTAAAGAGGAAAATGCATTGAAAGTTAAAGTGAAATGTCTTTTTATGGATTATAAACAAAGTCTTAAATCATATTGCAAGAGGAATATAATCGATTATCATCATTATCACTCTTTTATGAAAATGAAGGCCTCTGAAGATTTCGAAGACGACGAAATTCCATTGTTGAAGGTTTATGATAACACCTTAGTAAATTTAAGATTAAGATTGATTGAAGAGAGAAATAAACACCGACAAATTGTGAAACATGTTAATGATGTTGCTTCAAGTTGTTTTCAAGAGGGTTTGACTCCAATTTTTGAAGCTTTGTGGAGGTTTAGTTTAGAAAATGTAAAAGTTTATGAACTACTTAGAGTTTCACAAAGTAGATTATGAAGTGTAATCTACTTAGAGTTTATAAAACTTTTTTATAAGTTTTTGTGTTTAGATGAACATTTATTTTAAAGTACACATTATATTTTTGAGTTCAAATTTTATTAGATGTTAATATTTTTGTGATGAATTAATTCACACAGAATTATCCTTTAACTTTTGTCCGCAAAGTCAGATATCAACCTTTAAAAAAAATATTACTTTTTTACTTATTGTTTTTAAATTAATTTTAACAATATTTCAATATCTTTTTTAAATATGATTTGATTAGTTGCATGTCAACAAATAATTACACAATCAAATATTAATCTTTTAATATCTATTAGTTTGACCTAAAACCTAAAAACTTAATATAAACAAAATTTACTTTTAATCTGGCTAAATAATTATATCCTTTTTTAAATTCACATAATTTTTTTAACCCCTATATTGCTCTTTCCTTTGCGTACTTCAAACTTACGTCGTGCTATTCCGCCACCATGTCCACCGCCAAATCCCGCAACTTCCGCCGCCGTGCCGACACCAACGACGACGAAGACATCTCCACCGCACCCACCACCCTCCCTTCTAAACCCCCCGCCCCAAAACCCAAGAAGCCCCAAGTCCCCAAACTTCTCAGCTTCGCCGACGACGAAGAAACCGACAACACCGAAACCCTCCGCCCTCGCTCCTCCAAACCCCACCACCGCGTCTCGAAATCGTCCTCCTCTCACAAAATCAGCACTCACAAAGACCGAATTTCACATTCCCCTTCTCCTTCCAATGTTCAGCCACAAGCCGGAACATACACCAAAGAAGCACTTCGGGAGCTTCAGAAAAATACCCGAACCCTAGTTACTCCCAGTACTGTCTCTCGTCCTATTTCTTCTAATTCCGATGCTAAACCCTCCTCTGAACCTGTTATCGTTTTAAAAGGCCTCCTTAAACCAGTGACGTCGGAACGCGAATCGGATTCCGAAGATAGGGAAGAGGTTGAGGCCAAATTCGCTTCGGTTGGGATTCGAAACGGGAAAGACGCGCTTATTCCGGATGAAGAGACTATTAAAGCTATTAGAGCAAAGCGGGAGCGGCTCCGGCAGGCACGTCCCCCTGCGCCGGATTATATATCGTTGGATGGTGGAAGTAATCATGGTGCTGCGGAGGGGCTGAGTGATGAGGAACCGGAGTTTAGGGGTCGGATTGCTATGTTTGGGGAGAAGGGAGAAGAAGGGAAGAAGGGTGTTTTTGAGGATGTGGATGAGAGGGGGGTTGATGAGAGGTTTAAAGGTGTAGGGGATGTGGTGGTTGAGGTGGAGGAGGAAGATGAGGAGGAGAGAATGTGGGAAGAAGAGCAGTTCAGGAAAGGTTTGGGGAAGAGAATGGATGAAGGGCCTTCTAGGGTAGGTGGTGGTGGTGATGTTCCTGTCGTGCAAGCTGCTCAACAGCCCAATTTTGTTGGTCCCTCTGCTGCAAATGTGTATGGTGCAGTTCCAAATGTAGCAGCATATGTGAATACCAGCATTGGAGGAGCAATCCCAGCAGCACCGGCTTTGGATGTCATCCCTATATCTCAACAAGCCGATATTGCAAAAAAAGCTTTGCTAGACAATGTTAGGAGGCTTAAGGTATGGATTGTTTATGTCATAGTACTATATGGATTGGGTATTAGGCTGAGCTGTCACTTGTCAAATTAATAACTGTGCTTATCTTGTGCACTAGGTGTATACATTTATTGACATTTTATTTTTTTGATTATGAATTATGATCTCAGTATTATTGATTAAAATAAACGGAGTTAAAAATTAGAGAATCATTAAGTTTATCATAGGAGTAACTTTGGCATCAAAAGAATGAGGTTTTCTTGGTCAGAAGGATTAAATTTGCCTTGTTGAGGTCGAGGGGTTCTGGCAATTGATCAGATGAATCCTGTTGATCATTAGGGTTTAGGGTTTTAAGTTACAGTTGCTGTCATGTTTGTATTGTGGCTTTTATGGGTTAGTTTGTTGGGCTGGTTGACTGTCAATGTGGTTTGCACTCAAGGCATGATGTGATTGTAGCGAGCATTTCAACCTAGATGCTGAAACTGTATCATGTGTGATGCAGTCTGCAATTTAATGCATTGATTACATATGGTAAAAGAATGCCCACACGCTCTCTATTCACGATCCAATGAGTTGTAAATTATGTGAGTTGAATAGTTGTGCAGGGGTTAATAGTATAGGCTTAACTCGCACTTTAAAACTATGTTTGTACTCAACTGGATCAATTGGATTTTTTTGCAATAACTTATATTGCAGATGGATAGGTAAGTAGGTAGTTGCATATTTTCGCACAAAACCATGATAATTGTCTTGGAAATGGGACTTGCTTTTGCATGAAATGTATATAACTTTCCCTTCCTTGGGATTGATATATTTTCTTAATTGCATTTTTGTGTGCCCCCACATATGACAGGAATCACATGGAAGAACAATGTCATCATTGAACCAAACAGATGAAAACTTGTCTGCATCCCTTTTGAAGATTACTGATCTTGAAAACTCATTAGTGGTAGCTGATGAGAAGTACAAATTTATGCAAAAGCTCCGAAATTATGTCTCAAATATATGCGATTTCTTACAGGTAACCATGATTCTTGCATCTTCTAAGTTTCTTTTCTTCTTTCTTAATTAAATAAAAGTGGGTTCGATCTATACAATGTTATTTATTGAAGTATTTTTCCCCTCACATAATATCACTAGTTTTGTTTCTTTTTGTTCTTCTATTCATCCTTCTATGTTTTACTTATGAGTTAATGAAGTAGATATATTGATTTTTATGGTGGTGAAAATGCTTTGTGGAGATATACTATCTTAACATTTCTTTGGCTTAAGTCCTTTGTCCTTTCATTTGTTTTCTGTTAACACATGCTTGTCTTTGTGTATACTTCTTTCTTCTCTAGTATATTTTCTTTTGTGCCCAAGTGAAAGAGGATACTAATAGGGTGTTGGACATAGACCCTGCTGTGGGGTCAGATGGAAATGTTTTAGTAGGCTTTTATTAGAATAGACCCTAAGTTTGGAGAGTGTATGAGCGTAAGAACAAGGATACTGCTGAGTTATAGCTGCTGCCAGCTCGTCAGTGAGTTAGATTAGTCCAATTAGGGAGAGTGGGCGGAGTCATGCATGTATTCTGTTAGAGCCTGATGGTTGGGAGAGATGTCTGAGTCATGAAACAACAGGGTTCCTTCCTAGCATCGCTTATCACATCAATGTTTTCCTCTTCATTGCCACGTTCATTTTGTAAGGACTAAGGAACATTGCTCCATTCCATCTTAATTCCTAGTATAAAAACACACAACTTTGTGTGTATGTTCTATATGACTTTTCTGCAAGTCAGTAGGTTTCTTATCATCTTAATATTGTTTATGTTGATACTTGAATTCATCCAGCGAATGTGCTATTTTTTCTCTCTTAAGAACCTAGCGCAAGCCACAAATTTTAGTCCTTGCTAAGTTGCTACTCTTTATTCATTGTATTATGTGTTTTCCTTTTTTAGCTTGCTGATGGAGGAATGTTAAATGAGGATTTTAAGTGTGAATTCCCTAGCTGGACCTATGGTTTAAGAGATTTAGGCTCTGTTTGGTAAAATTTAGTGGATAGCTGATAAGCTAGCTGAATTAATTTGAAGTGTTTTTGGTAAAATTAGTAGTTGAACTTGCTAAAAAATATAGAATAACAAAAAATTATTTTTAATTAATATCTAATTTTTTTTCAATTAAGGTAATGAGGGTAAAAAATGATAAGCTCTTAATCTCAAACACTTCAAGTAACATCTCCAAAACACTATAAGCTCGTCGGACAATGACCGTTACCAAATAGCATATGAACTTATAAGCTATCTCTGCTATAAGTCGAAAAATTGGCCTTGCCTAACAGACTTAAAAGCTAAAATGAACAAGCTGTTAAAAGCCTCCCTTCATTTCTCTGTGTCATTTTTTTTGAATTGTTTGTTACTATTTATCCACCATTTGCCAAGTTCAAAAGACATTAACCATTATATTGTAAAAAAGGCCTTTACCTATTAATTAGAGAGAGACGAGGTAATGACAGTCAAGGGTATCACAGAAAAAACAAATAATTTCATCAACTACCAAATTTATTGATTTTTTGGGTATGTATAAATATCCTTAAATGACACATAAAAAAGGAACAAGGGTAATACTTGAAACAACATATGCTTCTAATAAAGTTGGAAAGTATGCATTTTCTCACTATATATTTAAAACTTGAAACTCATTTGCCTGCTTATCATTTTTGTTAATGCTGTGGGGTATAATTTATTGAAGTTAATACTAAGGTTTATATCTGACTTTAACTTTCAGCATAAAGCTTTCTACATTGAAGAACTTGAAGATCAGATGAAGAAACTTCACGAAGATCGAGCATCAGCCATTTTTGAAAAAAGAGCCACTAACAATGACGATGAAATGATTGAGGTAGAAGCAGCTGTGAAAGCTGCAATGTCAGTTTTAAGCCGGAAAGGTGACAACGTGGAGGCTGCCAGAAGTGCAGCTCAGGACGCATTTGCTGCTGTGAGAAAACAAAGAGATTTGCCAGTTAAGTTAGATGAGTTTGGTAGAGATTTAAATCGTGAGAAACGGATGAAAATGATAGGGATGGCCAAGGCTCGCCAAAGCAGGAGGTCTAGAGCTTTTGATTCTAAAACGCTGGCATCCATGGAAATAGATGATCATAAAGTAGAGGGTGAATCAAGCACAGATGAGAGTGATAGTGAGAGCCAAGCATATCAGTCACAACGTGATTTAGTGCTGCAGGCTGCTGATGAGATTTTCAGTGATGCTTCCGAGGAATATAGTCAATTATCCCTGGTCAAAAAGAGAATGGAAGAATGGAAAAGGGAGTATTCGTCAAGCTATAATGATGCTTATATTTCGTTAAGTCTTCCACTGGTCTTCTCTCCATATGTAAGATTGGAACTCCTGAGATGGGACCCACTTCACAAGGGTTTAGATTTTCAAGATATGAAATGGTAATGACCTATTCTGTATTTTTCCATTTTTAGTATTCTTTCTTGAATATTTTTAGGGGATCTTCTTGGCTCATGGACTTGTTTTTCTTTACCTTTTCAGTACACTTCATCCGGTTATCTTTTTACCTTCAATTTATAGTAGAGTTTTTCTTTTACTCTCTTTCTCTCTTCATATTTAGGTATAAATTGTTATTCACTTACGGTTTGCCTGAAGATGGAAAAGATTTCGTTCACGATGGAGATGCTGACCTTGAGCTTGTCCCAAATTTGGTAGAAAAGGTTGCACTTCCTATTCTCCATTATGAAGTTTCCCATTGCTGGGACATGCTTAGTCAACACGAAACAATTAATGCTATTGCTGCTACAAAATTGATTGTGCAACATGTATCCCATGAAAGTGAAGCTCTTGCAGAACTTCTAGTTTTGATTCGTACGCGTCTAGCTGATGCTGTTACTAATCTTATGGTAAGCTCAATTTATATTTACTAGCTAGTATATGGTATTTGTTTTGTTCATTTCCTGTTGGTTTGCATTGCGATTTGTATATGATATACTGGGTTTTTAGAAATTAGTAACTAGAAATAATGACACATTCCATGATAAAATTTCCATCTTGTCTTGTTTGTAGGTCCCTACATGGAGTCCACTAGTGCTAGCTGCTGTTCCAGACGCTGCACAAGTTGCAGCATATCGATTTGGTGTGTCTGTTCGATTATTGAGAAATATTTGCTTGTGGAAGGACATATTTGCAATGCCAGTGTTAGAGAAGCTTGCTCTAGATGAGCTTTTGTACGCAAAAGTTCTACCTCATTGTAGAAGCATATCAGAAAATGTTCAAGATGCAATAACAAGAACAGAACGGATTATTGCTTCCCTATCTGGTGTTTGGGCTGGCCCAAGTGTCACTGCAGACAGAAAGTATGTTGATAGTACTTTTTCAAAATTGTTGTGAAATTAGTGATTACATTTATTTCTTTTGGAAAGACATTTGCATATTCTTTTTTTTTTATACCCTTCTTAATCACGTGAGTGTAAGTTAGCATAACAGAATTAACTTGGGAAAATGGGGATATCCTACAAGTAACTTGGATATTCATTAAGTGCCCACCTGGCAGCTGCATTGGGGTTAAGTGGGATTAGAGTAGAGGTCATAGGTTTAAATTAACTTCTTCCTAATTAATTTGTTTGTGTTATGAAGTTGCTTAACTCAAGTAGGATCTCAAATACATGTATGACATTATTATCTACAGTACAATAATAGTTCTAGCTCTTCATGTGTGTGCAGTAAAGCTCTACGTGTGTGTTAATATAATTTTGGTCAAATCTAATACTTTCCATGTCCTTCTCCATTCTTAAATTGCAGCCGCAAGTTGCAGCCTCTGGTGGCTTATGTGCTGTCACTTGGAAGGATTCTGGAGAGAAGAAACATGCCAGAGAATGATCTAGCCCGTCGATTGAAGAAAATACTTGTGGACCTTGATGAATATGATCACGCCAGGAGCATGGCCAGAACCTTCCATCTCAAGGAGGCATTATGAGTTTGGAATTTCGTTATACAGGATTTCTTGGTATGTCAGAGAATTTGGCCCAGGGTTAGCCTTCTCAAGTGAGTGCTTCAGATAGCCTTTTGACCTTATCAGGAGTATTCTTTAAATCTAGAGGATGAATCTTTCACTCCTAGAGTCAGCTAAGTTTATGAACCTGCTGGAACAATATGAAACTAATTAAGGATCTTCATTGCTTCTTTTGTCACCACAACGGGTATGTCGCACCAACCGAGAACCAAAAGTGCAACCAAGAACCAAAAGTGCATATGTATCGTCTCATTTTCAGGGTGCAGTGGGAAATTTTTTATATCTAGCCACTTCTTTCTTTCACTGAGATCCCTGGAGAACAAATATTGTAAAACTTTCCATTTACGCAGGATTCGTTTCTCCAATGTGATTTGTAGTTGTAGCCCAGTTTGGTGCATAGTATTCGTGAGGGAGCTAGGTTTGAAGCTTGCTCTTACCTTTGAATAATTGTTCAGGCGGTGTTTAAAAAAAAAAGAGGAGCAATGATATGTGAATTTATGTGATGAAAACGGAGCAAATGAGATGAAGTTACCAAATGTCTTCATTGTGTTTGCATAATGGTCTGTTACAATAGTATTATACTTTCAATAGTATTTTACTCTAAGATTACTACTTCAACTAACATAGAATTTTTACATTGAGTATTTTGTTTATAAAATTCAACACCAGCGTAATAGAGTTAGTACTATAAGAGACATATTATATTCAAGCTTGGGAATTTCTTTATACACAAGAGTGGAGAAAATCTTTGAAAATCCGAAAATATTCTTCGAAGATGTATTTCTGAACGCATTTAAAATCAGTGTTTTGGAGATGTATTTTCAAAAACATGCAGTGATATTTTCGGAGATGCATATTCGAAATCACCTGATTTGGTTATTTCGGAGATGTATCTTCGAAATCCTGGACAATGATATTTTTAAAAAAAAAATCAATGTGTTGATAAATAATTAGATGAAAACGATAATAAAAACGCAAATGAAAAATGATAAGAAATAAAAAATGATAATAAACACAAATTGTTCAAAATAAAAAAATATATATAATAATTGTTCATAAATTATTCATAAATTCTTCTGAAATAAAAACAAAAAGACATAATCTACTACGTATGTCTGATCCTCACTTTCAGACCCTTTCTCTGTTTCTTATATCCCGCCGCACTCTCTGTCTTTTCAACCATCCTCTCTACAATGGCCACCACCTCATGACCGTCTCAGTCAATAATATCTATGTTAAAAGTCTCTCTCCCAATCATCTGTATCTGCTGACAAATCAGTAAGAGATCAATGATATGGTCATTTTCAGTCTGTTGGTTTCCCTAAGATCTTCTCATGAGTTGGTCTAGGTGGACGTCAAGGAGCATCCAGTGTCATGATAGAATGTGACACTGTGTAGAATCATATCATGTATCCTTCAATACAATGTCAACTGCTGGATGCCTGCATCATCCGACATTCATCTGGAACCAAATGATGATCCCTGTCCTGAAATATGCCATCCAGATCTCGGCGGGAATAGTGTCAGAAACATCCTGAAACGAAGATCTGGATATGGTCTGTACATAGTCAAACTGCCGCATGTATTGCTCTGCCAGATATCTGACCATAGTGCCACTCAAATGTACCAGCCATCCAGAGTATAGTGAAATGAAGTCAAACTGTATAATCTCCAGGTGATCGTCGAACGACGCGTATAAGATGTCATCATGGACAGTCTGATTCAGATACACTCAGAACGGCAGCACAATCTGATTCCCTCTATGGAGGACATACCAACCATCCCTCAACACGTGCTCACTATACTGCATATCCAGTTCAAAACCATGGATGCAGCGGAAGTGAGAAATGATGAAGTCCTGAAAAACGAATAACATTCATGTAAGAATAAATTATAATTAATTTTAAGTTTAATATAATAGTTGGAATGAAAATTACCGCCAGTATTGTAACATAGTGTGTAAGCTGCCGTGCCCTCCAGTTAGAGGCTTCATCCAACTTTTGGTACAAGTATATCAAACAACTGCTCCCCAGATCCACTCATTCACAATATCCAAATCCATGAAGTACCAGAGGTATGCTACATCCATACAGTTGGCGTTTTTGTCCATAAAAATGAATGTGTCAACCAAGAATATAAAGTAACACCTCAGAGCATACTGACGGTGATAAAGAATAAAGAAGTCGTCTCCCTTTGACTCAGAATCAGTTGCCGCTGAGAGGTGCTGGTGATATAGGTTCTTAAGGAATGAGAACTTGGCATGAGCTTCATTGGTGGATGAACACTGCTTAAGTGCATCTTCTGGTTCAACTTCCAGATAGTCGACCATCCATTCAATCACATCATTACGATCGATCTGGGAGTGGTTAAGTAACCTCCCTCTGATAAGAAGGTGCATCAGACAAGCGACGTCATCAAGTGCGATCGTCATCTCTCCAGCAGGCAATTGGAAATATGACGTCTCCTTGTGCCACCTCTCGACAAATGCCCCTTGCATTCTTTGGTTGATGGTTTGTAACCGAAACAACAAAAGTCAGAGGCAAAAGTGGCCTCTCTGAACCAATCCTCATCAGGGTGATATAACTCAGATATCTTCCATGCGTGGTTCACGCACTTTAGTGGCCTCCGTTCCTGTAAAGATAAATAATTAATATCAATTTTAACATATTAGTGCATAAATCATTAAAATGAAAAGTGTAACAAAAAATAATATATATGTCCCTCTGAAACATATCGAGCGACATGATCGGTGTAATAGATTAAGAGGGAGGTGTCAGACAGTCCTTATAGAAAACTCGGGTTAGCCTCCTCCCCGGCTTCCGGAATCCTAGATGAGGACGCACGTGAAAGGCGACTCCTTAAAGCAGAGGTCAATGTTCCATACACTTCCTCCCGCGGTACCCGACCACGTCCTGGATGCCTCGTAGTCTGCTCAACTCTCTCTCGTCGAGCGAATGTAGTTTGGCTAGGCCTACCAAATCTCATCTGTTGGGATTCTCTGCCATTTTTCCTGGAAAAACAAATAATCGTTAATTAAAGGGAAGCGAACAGACAATAACATGTTTGAAAATAAAAATAAATAAATAAACTAAGGCATATTTTCGAAGATGCATCTCCGAAACTCCTCAGAGGGGTTTTCGAAGATGTATATCCGAAAAAACCCGCGACTTTCATAACCAAAGCTTCAACCTAACAACTTCTTTTTTACACCAAAATCTAACTTTTACACATAAAAGCAAGCTTTTTATAGGTTATACATAATCTAAAAAGCTTAAAATATAAATGCAAATATTAAAAGAAATTGAAAAATTACTCAAATTTTAAGCTTTTAGAGTTGTTGAAATGTATTGAAATTGAGAGTTCGAGTGAGTTGTAACAAGTGCAAATGAGTAGACAAACTTGAATGAGTTTTGAAAGTAGAGATTTTGGAGGTTTTTGAGGTGATTGATAGTTATAATTTGGAAGAAATGAGAATGAGGGATCGTTTTTCGTATTTGTTATTGTAATGCCCAAGTTCGGAGATATATCTCCGAGACACCCCTAATTTAAAAAAAAAAAGTGTTTCGGTAATACATCTCTAAATTTTCAGGGTAAAAATGGAATTTCAGCAGAGGTGGCTAAGAAGGTGTAAGGATGGGGAAAGAAATTCCCTTCAAGCTTAACCATGCTTTTAAGTTTTGGTTTGGTAATTCTTTAGAGGTTCCTCTCTTTCCGCCATTATGTGTGCATTCCACACCTTTAGAAATTTGAAAATGTCATTCATACGTCCGGAGATGCATATTTGGATGCATCCAAATTACACTCGATTGTGCTATTCTGAGATCTATATCATTTTAAATAAAATATGATCCGGAGATGCATCTACAGACGTTATTTGGGTTATTCAAAGATGCATCTTGAAAATGTTTCTTGAAATCACGATTGTCTTAATATTGTATTATTTGATGTCAAGTTATATTAAAGTTAACTAATAATATTAAAGTGAAATGAAAGTTAAAAGCTATACATTAGTCAAAAAAATTAAAACCATACATAATACTTATCCGAAATTACAAAAAAATAATACATCCAAACATGTTTTTACTGGTTATGTCTGGTCTTCTGTCTTCTTCTCCGTCCATACTACACGACATTCCCTAACTCGACAATCATGTCCTCCATGAGGGTCGAATGAGGTCTGTCATCCTCAAAGAGTTCAGCCTCTATGTTAGCTCTACCCATCTCCACAACATGCCGACATACCACCGACACGTCTTCGTGTGGTCATCCCTAGCCTCAAGTATCTCCTGATTAGCTGATCTATGTGATCTTCCAGGAGTATATGGTGTCATTAGGATGTGACTCTCTATAGAACCATGTCATGTAGCCGTCAGACACAATCCATTGAAAAGGAGATGACACCCTGTGATACTCTTCTGGTACCTTGTGACTATAAAAATCATCCAGTATCGCATCAAGATCTTTGAAGCAGACGGCGGGAGGAGCATACACATAGGAAAGTCTTGAAATAATCTGCAAATAGCCAAACTATAACATCCTAAAATTCTGACTATTTATATATAAAAGATAAACATATAATTTCTCAAATATAGGTGTTACACATGCTCAACACACATCCTTCATCAAGGTAATAACATAAAACATAGAGTAGAGTAAAACATTAAAACTTCAAATAATTCATTTATCGACCTGAACATAATTTACTTAATAAAATATTCCAAACGACTCAAGAAAACACAAAATAACTCGTTCCTAGTGCTACATATTAGAGCGGATTACATAAATACTAAGTAAACTTAACAAAATGATAAATAAAATGAAGTATTTATTTACACCAATCATTTCACATAGCAGCAACTAATGCTCCTTTATCTGGTATATGTATCATCGGTACAACGAGCCACACAAGCAAACAAAAGTGGTGAGAAATAATTTTATAATGTTAACAGTGTAATAAACAATGAGGATAGTGTTGTACCCCAAAATTTTATCTCCCATTCTTAAGACAAAATGGTTCAAGATACCTCCTCATGCTCATGAAGGTCTCAAACACTCAAGACTTATCAAGGATTGATCATATGGACTCTCCTCCTAAGCAACCAACCTATAACTAGGGTTTTGCTTTTCTCAAAGGAAATTGAGTTTATAATTCCTCAAGTGGATTTCATGGTTTCTCATATGCTTCAAGGAGTCCTCATGTCAGGTTTCAGGCCTTACATCACAAGTTTGCGCAGTCAATTAGCCAGATGATTAAAAATCAGTTATATTGAACAAAAAGTCAACTTTGATCAATTGACAGTCAAATCTCAAGATTTTTGGTACAAGTCAAGATTTTGAAGTCACATTCATAATTTGGTCAAGGGTTGACCATGATTCATCAAGAAAACTCAAGATTCATCAAAAGTTAAAAGTTGCCAAATTTGGATTTTTGACCATTTCTTTAGGAGAAGTCAACTGAACTTTGACCAAGCACAACTTTCACATACTTTATCAGAAATTCCTCAACCAAATCTCATATTGAAGGAAATTTGACTCTCTACAACTT